TTACCCGTGTTTGACTCACCTGGAGGAATGAAGGGATATTCTGCAGTGACGAGTGGCAGATGCTGCTGCATACAACTTCAATGTCATCATTCTGAACCAAGGCAACCTGAATTAGTGGTGGGCTCTGGCATGGATGTGTGTGTGTGTGCGCGCGCACGCGCGCGCACATTTGGTCCTGCAGACAGGATAGCCCCCCACAACCACCCTCCCCTGAGTACAATGGAGAGACTTGAAGGAACCCCCTTCGGCTAGCCACTCCATTCAGGGCTGTGGAAGGTCTGGGCGTGGCTGTAGGCTGTCACCGCTTCAAACCTATTCCTACATTTCATTCTGGAGTCTGGCAGAGAAGAAGGTAACTGTGACAAGGAGCAGGGGTCCCAAGGGTGGGGGCAGGAAGGAGAGGATTAATGCCCAAGGTTTCCTTTGCCTGTGACTTCCACTAAGTCAGTGCAGGAGACGGAAGGACCCGGGCTGGCGACGTTCTTAGAGGTAGAGGTCTCATCTCTGTGCTGAGAGCATGCAGGGCTTCCGAACTGAAGAGAAGCCATATTTGAAAAGCCTTGCATTGTGGGGGAGGCAGCCCGAATGCCCTGGGCCTCAGGGCACCTCTGGTGTGTGGGTGTACTTATTTCTTGGTTGCTGAGGGAATACATAGTCAGGGCTGGGAGTGTCATCCAGGGGACAAGAAAAGGCACAAGCTAGGTGTGGTGGCACACGCCTTTAATCCCAGCACTTGAGAGGCAGAGGCAGGTGGGTCTCTGTGAGTCTGAGGCTAGCCTGGACTAAAAAGTGAGTTCTAAAACAGCTAGGACTGTTACAGAGAAACCCTGTCTTTTTTTTTTTTTAAAGGCACAGAGGGTGCTGCTATGTGAGTTGGAAGAACTTGGGGCAAATGGGACCCCAGCTGAAGGCTGAGTTCTGGTGTCATTGAGCGGCATTCTGTGCGTTTGGTGGGAAGCGATTGTTTTCTACGGAGTGAATAAAAGAGCAACAGCAGAGCTGTGGCCCATGGAGAGATGCCTGCTGACCAAAGGCATGATGTTTACATATTTAAAATTTCTGCAAAATGCCACGTTGGTGGTGCACGCCTTGAAGCCCGGCATTTGGGAGGCAGAGGTAGGTGGATCTCTGACTTTGAGGCCAGCCTGGTCTACAGAGTGAGTTCCAGACCAGCCAAAGCTATGTAGTGAGATTCTGTCTTGATAATGATGATGACAACGACGACGATGATAAAGATTTGTGCTAAGTGAGTTTTCCAGGAATGGAATTCCTGGTCTACCTAAATGAACCCCAATTTTACAGAGAGGCTTGGACTAGCACATTTGTCCCCAGCCAGGGGATTTACGCAGGAGCCGGGCTTCGAGAACACTTCATGCTATGTTCTCAGGGTTTGGATGACACGCTGACCCAGCTGTAGCAGAAAGCTCTGGATCAGGCCCACTGACCACAAGGTAGAGGTGTTAGCATGCCTTTGTGTACCCTGGGGACAGCCACAGTGGCCGTGGGCATTGGTTTTAGTTCATCTGAAAAAGGAACCTCAAGGTGGGACTCGGGAGGCTCCGTGGGTACTTAAGAGCCCTCGCTCTCGCAGAGGACCTGGGTTCGGTTCCCAGCACCCACCAGGTAGCTCAGAACCATCTGTAACTCCAGTTCCAGGCAATGTGGGGCCTCTTCTGACCACCATGGGCACCAGGCAGGCACATGCATGTGGTGCACAAACATACATGCAGACATACATACATTCATATGCATAAAATAAAATTTGAAAATCTGGGGAAAAAACCATGGCAGTGTCAAGGCAGTGAGAACGTCTCCTTTCTCCCTTCCTTCCTTCCTTCCTTCCTTCCTTCCTTCCTTCCTTCCTTCCTTCCTTCCTTCCTTC